ATATTTCATCTTTCAATGAGCACACACACACTATATATACACTCACCGGCCACTTTATTAGGAACACCTGTCCAACTGCTCGTTAACACTTAATTTCTAAGCAGCCAATCACATGGCGGCAACTCAGTGCATTTAGGCATGTAGACATGGTCAAGACAATCTCCTGCAGTTCAAACCGAGCATCAGTATGGGGAAGAAAGGTGATTTGAGTGACTTTGAACGTGGCATGATTGTTGGTGCCAGAAGGGCTGGTCTGAGTATTTCAGAAACTGCTAATCTACTGGGATTTTCACGCACAACCATCTCTAGGGTTTACAGAGAATGGTCCGAAAAAGAAAAAACATCCAGTGAGCGGCAGTTCTGTGGGCTGAAATGCCTTGTTGATGCCAGAGGTCAGAGGAGAATGGCCAGACTGGTTCGAGCTGATAGAAGGGCAACAGTGACTCAAATAACCACCCGTTACAACCAAGGTGGGCAGAAGAGCATCTCTGAACGCACAGTACGTCAAACTTTGAGGCAGATGGGCTACAGCAGCAGAAGACCACACCGGGTGCCACTCCTTTCAGCTAAGAACAGGAAACTGAGGCTACAATTTGCACAAGCTCATCGAAATTGGACAATAGAAGATTGGAAAAACGTTTGCCTGGTCTGATGAGTCTCGATTTCTGCTGCGACATTCGGATGGTAGGGTCAGAATTTGGCGTCTACAACATGAAAGCATGGATCCATCCTGCCTTGTATCAACGGTTCAGGCTGGTGGGTGGTGTCATGGTGTGGGAATATTTTCTTGGCACTCTTTGGGCCCCTTGGTACCAATTGAGCATCGTTGCAACGCCACAGCCTACCTGAGTATTGTTGCTGACCATGTCCATCCCTTTATGACCACAATGTACCCAACTTCTGATGGCTACTTTCAGCAGGATAATGCGCCATGTCATAAAGCTGGAATCATCTCAGACTGGTTTCTTGAACATGACAATGAGTTCGCTGTACTCAAATGGCCTCCACAGTCACCAGATCTCAATCCAATACAGCATCTTTGGGATGTGGTGGAACGGGAGATTCGCATCATGGATGTGCAGCCGACAAATCTGCGGCAACTGTGTGATGCCATCATGTCAATATGGACCAAACTCCCTGAGGAATGCTTCCAGCACCTTGTTGAATCTATGCCACGAAGAATTGAGGCAGTTCTGAAGGCAAAAGGGGGTCCAACCCGTTACTAGCATGGGGTACCTAATAAAGTGGCCGGTGAGTGTATATCGTATGATGAGTGTGATCGGGCCACACACACACCGTATATGCATCATGTACTGGTGTATCAGAATGGCTGTGTTTTCATAGGACAGTGGTGTTAAAGGGATGGCCAATATGCCTTATTCAGGTCCAGTTGCTGAGCGAGGGGATAAAAGCGACTCGAGACCGCTGTCCTCATGCTGTGACTGGTCTGATAAAACATGCCAATGATTTCATTTTGTATGATTAGAAGTGTATTTAACATTCGGGGATTTTCTTGTGTTGTCTTTCACAGGTCTACCCAAATGTCCGACCCTCCTACTGTATCCGGGTCCTTTTTGACCTGAAAGAGAAATTTCTTAAAAATCTAGTTTTTGCTAAAATAAAGAAAATTTATAAATGTATAAAATAAGCTCTATAAACTATAAGCTCGGGCTGTGTGGACATGGTAAATAAATACTTATGAGATTCAACTGGAGACCCAGATAGCAAACTGACATTGAATCAACGTGGAAACATGACATCGAAACAACGTTGATCTGACATTGTTTTGCTCATCGAATTAACGTTGAACCAACGTCAGACGCGTCATTCTTTCAAAACTAACGGAAAATCAACTTGAAATCAACGCGTTGTTTCAACGTTATGAAAGCAAACCAATTTTCGATTTTCATTTAGCTTTGAAGAATGCCGCGTCTGACGTTGGTTCAACGTTAATTCGATGAGCAAAATCAACGTTGTTTCGATGTCATGAGAGACGTCGTTTCCAAGTTTGCTGTCTGGGGAGTGCGGTTTTTCATCTTTATTTTGATTATTGTTTTATAACTCGCACCCACAAACGTCTTGGCAGTTGAGCGCGCCTAGTTTGAGCAGCATTTATTATTATTATCATTTTTTTTTTTTTTTAATTTTTACTTCTCAAATCTCAAATTAATTCAAATTAACATCTGTTTGTAAATCAAATGTTCATAGACCAAATATTGTAAATTTGAAAAAGGACAAAGAAATATATTTTGTCCGAAAACATTTCACTGTAATATTGTTGTTTTTTTATATATTTTTTAATTTTTTTGCTGTAGTTGTAACATTTTAAATTTCAAAGATTTTTTCATTAATTTGAATTGGTAAAACTATCACCGTCTGACTCCTCCCTCATCATGTCCCAGAGTTCCCTCTGTCTCCGGCCGCTGGGGAACGGGAGACGTCCATCGCCTCAGTCGCTCAGTTCAGGCCGCACCATCACAGCTTGAGTTCTGGAGAGACAGCACTGGAAATGACAGGTTTGCTGGTGTGTGTGTGTGTGTGTGTGTGTGTGTTCCCTAGAGTAGGGATATGTGTGTTAGCGTTGCTCAAGGATTCTGTCACTACAGCACAGCTGGATCCGATCTGATGAAGACGGGCTCTGGTCCAAACCTCAGAAAACTTCTAAAGCAGCATCCGAACAACATGGAATCTTTTTTTTTGTCCTCGAGACACACACACACACACACACTTATATGCTCACTCTCATTCACTCACATACACACAGACTCACACGTAGACACTCTCTCTCTCAAACACACACACACACACACACACAGGTCCTCGATGACGTCAGTGTCCACGACGCCGTGATCCAGGGACAGCAGAAGGTTTGCTGGGACACCTGTAGGTCTGGCCATGGAGTGACGGGCCGCTTTCACAGAGACAGACTCTGACTACGGCGGAGATAGAGTAGAGAGTCAGACTTCAGATAGACGTCTAAATCACACCGGGGCACAAAGCACTGAAGACTCTGTCTGTACGTAAGTAGGACTACTGCAATGCATTCTGGGTAATCCGAATGCAATCCAAGTAAGCGCATTCACCTGCTCAGTGCAGTTTACCCCAGCGGGAGATGTGTGTGTGTGTGTGTGTGTGTGTGTGTTGGAGGAGTGTAACAGTTACAAGGACATTTTACTGGGGAAAGTTAGCAGAGAATGTAGAAACAAGAAGAAATATTTAATTTGGACAAAGATTGCTACGACAGCGTCAGCGGAGCGTCACAGATGTACAGAAAAGACACAAAAACTTCGTACAAGATGCCGTACAAGAGGAAATATCCAAAAACGGGAGGAGGACCCCAAGAGAAACTTAGAGAAAGTAACATTAGGTTACTGCGGTCCCCTTCTCATATCTCTCCATAACGTCGTCAGCAAACCACAAATCATGAGCCGTGATTTACGAGCCGTAGCTACGCAATGTAGAGTTACCGGCCGCTCTTGAAAGGGAACAGGTGTGCCAATTAATCAATCAATCAATGAAAAACCACAGAAACGAACTGAAAACTAGCACACAGAACTACAACACGCGATAAACCCAGATAATCCCACAGTATGCCGGTCTTTTTAATGGTCACCAAAACTTTTTTGTTGCCAACATTTGTTATACCCTTTTTTGTATTCTGCAGAAGAACAGATCGTACAGATTTGGAAAAGACAAGGTGAGTAAATGATGACGGGACTCTTAATTTTGTGTGAACAACCTTCAGCATCGTAACTGTTAAGAGATTGTTAAGAGCTTTTGAGCGCAGCTGCTCCTCAACATCATGCTTTTATTATAATACAATAATGAAAATCATCACTTACCTTCATCTGTTCTAAACACGCACACACACTCTTCTGATAGGTTTGCAAGTACATGTCAACTTATTCTACTATCCCTAACCTATAAAACAGTTTATTGACAGTCCGCATTAATGATGTTGCAAAGTTATTAGAATGTCTAAAGTGCACTATTGAAATAAAGAGTAACTGAACAAAAAAAGCATCATAATAGTAGTCCAGATTTGTCCATGTATTTCAAGTTTCCTGTGTGAGAAACCACCTGAAATGTAAGTTACAACTAAAGCAAACACCATTGGAGGTGTAAGAGAGACTCGATTTCAATTAATAACAAATTATGAAGAACTTTAGTGATATTTCGGTGCAATTTTTTGGTGCTTCACAGTCCACTGTATGGAAAAGAGCAGTGGGATCGATTTCCAAAAAAATTAAATGGACAAAAGAAAATTGTATGGATTGGGAACCACATGAGGCTGAGTAAATGGTTACAAAATATAAATGTTTGGAGTACACTTTAATGAATTATAGCCAATCTAACATACAATACCACACTCTTAGAAGAAAAGGTTCTTAAAAGGTTGTATCAGCGCTACGTATTTGGAACCCCTAAAAGGTTCTATACACTCTTAAAAAAAGGGTTCCTCTGGGTTCTATATAGAACCATACTTGGCCAATAGAACCTTTTACCAAAAAAAAAAAAATGGTTCTATATAGAACCATTTTGGAGTTCCATATCTGAAGCGGGGGATGGAACCATTTCTGGTTCTAAATAGAACCATTTCTTCTAAGAGTGCATTCTAACTTGTGCCTTTAAGTCATATAAGTGTAAGATGTCTTCAATAAAGTAGCCAATAGGATAAATAACACAGAAACATCTTTCATATCGGTCTCTCAGCACTTCTGTCTGTCTCTCCTCTGTGGTGAGCGACAGACAGCACTTTAAGAGTCAATTAACAGCACACGTCTGTGGAGGAGGAGGGACTGAAGTTCCCTAATGAGAACACAATATGTCTGTACTGAGAGACACACTCCCTCTGAGACTCCCTCACCACCGCTGTGAGCATCTCCAGATAACAAGCCTTATTAGACGCTCACGCACCACACACACACACACACACACCTGATCAGTTCAATAGTTCTGCTGTTACTAATTATTATAAAAAAGAAACGTGTTCAGCCACATGACAGCATTACCTTGTCATTTATTTAGCAGTCACGAAATAATGAAAACATTCTCTTAAAAAAGAAATAAGCAATTTACTCAATAAACATCTTTTAATGTCTTAAAGACTATAATACAATATTCTCAATATATTGATTTTGTTTGTACAAAATAAGAATACCTTGACAAAACAATGATTCCATTTCACACACACAGAAAGCCTCATAAAGTATCAGGACACAGAACCGGAGAAAGATGGATCTCTCTGACACAGCAGTTTCATCATTTGTTTAAATGGAAGAGTCTGAAACGCAGTGAGCTTTCTAGAGCAGCACTTCGGATATAAAGAGGCAACAGGATATGGTCTGTGAAATTACAAGATAGATACACATTTTGATAGAGTAAAATTGAACTTTTGGTCTAGCTTAAAGTGTCATGAAACCCCCCTGTTTTAGCCTGATCGTTGGAAAAAGTCTCAAGAAATGGGCGTGTAAAGCTGCGGAAAATTGGGCGTGTAGAAGATGGGAAAGGGGATTATACAGACACATGAATCTCAGAGAGAAAAAACAGATTTCAGGGTTAAAAATCTAATATAACAAACTGCCAAAACGAGGGAGAAACGCAGAAGATTTAAAAGGTCTAATAATAATATTTTAATTACATTTACCAGCACTTCAATCTCTGAACAAATGACTTGTTCGTTTAACAGAAAAAATAAAGGCATAGTTTCATTTTTATCCTTTGTTCTTTGAATTGTTGGTTTACATCCTTGTCTTCTGTGTATCAGAATCATCCATCGGTTCATCGTGTTCATGATCAGACATCCTTACTTGCACATATATTTCATTTGAAGAAGACATGTGCACACACACACGGTGCTGGTTCATGTTTAGAGCACTAGAGTTTATAAAATAAGTCCATACATATTTTAAACGTGTTTGCGCCGGTCACTATATTTACTATATGTTTTGCATTGCAAGCAACATGAGCAACTCTCATGGCATGTGCGCGCCAATGGCTGCGATTCGAACTCAACAAGCTCTTTCTCTTGAATAAATGCAGAGATTGGCTGGAGGGTCAGCTGACGTAGAGTCGTGCAGCCAATCACACACTCGCACGTCTACCTCACATTCCCTGACAGTGCCTCGACTTCGCTTTTCAACCCGGAAGAACGCAATTGTTTGGAAAAGCGCAAAAATAACCAATTTCCACTTATTGATAACATTTATGAGTGCATTTAGTGTTTTCAATGATGTGCAGGCTGAACATATCAAAAAATGCGTTTTGGGGTTTCATGACCCTTTAAAAAAACAAGAGTTTGGGATGGAGAGTAATCATGAAACCACATATCTTCATTGCTAGATAACATTTAGTAACTGACCACTCAGACCAGCCAAACAATATCAACTCCGCAGTTCCCTTCGTTTCTGATGATCATGTGTGTGATGACGACAATCACAAAATAATTCAGCATTTTGCTAGGGTGCCAATTTAACATATATACTTATGTTAATAATAATTCAGCATTTTGCTAGGGTGTATTTCCAGTCCCAAGCTACCCTTTCTGAGAGAGAAATGATAAATATGGATTTGTTCAATGTATTTAAAGTGCAGAAGAGTTTTGATTGAAGAACAAACCAATGTTGGGTAATATACCTTAGATCATGGGTTCTCAACTCTGGCCCTCGAGATCCACTGTCCTGCTCCGACCTTGATCAAACTCTCCGCCTGTAATCCCGAAGACCTTGATTAGCTTGTTCAGGTGTGTTTGATTACGGCTGGAGCAAAACTGCAGGAAAGTGGACCTTGAGGGACATAGGCTGCGTTCCTGCCCAAAATTGTCATGCCGTTCACTCGCTAACTTCCCTTCCACCTGAAGTGTACATGTGAAGTAGACTCGGTCAAAATCGAGGGAGCGAGGGTCTGTCCATATAAACTTCCCTCATCCCCTTCAGTGGAATGCACTTCAAAATGGCGGCAGGGATTCTTTTGAGGGGAAGTGCTTAGGGAAGTTCGCAAGTGTGTGTCTGGAAGTGGACTGGAACACAACCAGAGTTGAGATTCCCTGCCTTATACCGGATTCAGAATGCACGATTTTAGCACGATCCGTTTAATGTAGTGTGTCGTGGTGATTCATAAACTGTTACACTTCATGACAGAAAGACTAGCATGTACATTTTTTTACAGTGCTTCTTGACGGGTTCCTTCACATCTGTGTGTTTGACCAATAGGATCACAGAAGCTCTTCCGTACACAGCTTTCAAACATGGCGAAACGAAAGAGAGACGATGGTATTGGTGCAATGCAGGAAAGATTCGTGGAGCGATGGCAGAACTCCGACCGAGGCGCTTCAGCAAACTGGTGAGTAGGCTACGTTTACTTTAGTACTGGCTAAAAATAAATAAAATATTGTGACGGGTCCTATTCTTCCTACTATGGCTGGCTAGTGGGCGAGGTTAGAAGGCTCATCAATGGAACGATGTCGACCTGTTCTTCCCTCTATAAATGTTTAGGCTTTGTTGGTAAGGGGGTGTGCTTGCTTGCTCCCGGTTGTTTTGTGTTTGGTTTTGGCTTTTTTTTCTGTTCTGTTTACTTTGACCTTGTTACTAGTTTAAAATATTGTTCTGTCTGATACTTGTACATCATGTGTCTGACAAAATTTGATTACATTGTTTTTATTGTATTATATATATTTATACTTATGTTAATAAATATTTTTGGTTGCAACCGTGCCAACCTTACTCTGTCCTCCTTTCATTTGTCAAGGCTTTGAGCCGGTCATGACAAATATGGGTGCAAGAGGTCCCGGGTTTAGATCCCGGACGAGCCCCCATATTTGTCACGAAATTTTCAAATGAATGGAGGACATAGTGAGTTGGTTTGCAAGAATTATCATTTCTTAACTTAAATAGAAAAATATATAAAAACAAGAAAACATGGTCATCTGTAATGATGCATGGATGTGCCATAGAAAGAAAACAAATAACAAAAGCAAGTTAAACTACAAACAAACGCCTAAACTTTTATCGAAGGAAAACAGGTCGACATTGTTCCATTGATGAGCCTCCTACACTCTAAAAAATGCTGGGTTGTTTTAACCCAACTTTGGGTCAAATATGGACTAACCCAGCCGTTGGGTTAAATTTTTACATTACATTTTTAACCCAACATTTCAGGTTTGTCCATATTTGACCCAAAATTGGGTTAAAACAACCCAGCATTTTTTAGAGTGTAGCCTCACCCACTGGCCAGCCATATCAGGAAGAGTAGGAGACCTGTCTCAATATATATATTTTACCTCAAGTTCTCTTTGGAAAATTCCCTTCTGTCCTCTTTGTGCAGGGAACATTGTCAGGTTGCCAGGTTTTCTTTCTTTTTGATAGTTTTTCTGATAACAAGATATCCTGTGCAAAACACACCACTTCGCTAGCCATTATTTGTTTATGCTCACAATACCTGTCAGTCGATAGTTTCGCCTTCTCAATGACATTACATACATCGTTAAAGACGCCAAGCAATAACTTGTCAGGAAGCAACGTGTAGACTGAAATGTTTTTTGTCAACAACACAACAAGAATGTTGGAGCCAAAATCATGTAATCTGACACAGTGACTATCGTAACAGACAAAAATATCATCTGAAATATAGTCTGAAAACGGCATTAGATTGTCATCATGGTTCAGTCAGCGATACAAAAGGAGGTTCACTCACAGCAAATTGGAGCAAAGAGAAACTGTAAGGGACAGAGACGTTTGCAATACATACACACAACATCGACAGAAACAGACAACATAAATCCAAAGATGGTTTTCTAAAGAGAGCTTTCCCAGACAACTAATTAGTGTTGGCCCAGATCTGGCCCACATCTGGAACATGTGGAATACAGGTGTATCAGATGTGGGCCGGATCTGGGCTGACACTATGTTGCTGTCTAGGTTCCGTCTTGATTTGATTTCATTGTTAGCACAGTGTTTTCACCCTGAATAGTGGTGGAGTTGCCGGGACCCCACTGCTGGCTGGCATGTAGGTAGTTATGTCTTCAGAAGGATTCTGTGTGTTAATTTATCCAGGAACCCAGCTGTGTTTGCTCTGCTGTGTGCCCGTAAATCCAAATCCCATGCCCATTCCTTGTGCCAGCGAGGAATCAAAGTTGAAATCGATCTCTTCTCCCGACTCCATAATGTCATGTAGAAGTATAGACTCCATGTCACAGTCCAAGCTGCTATATAATACATCCATATCCAGGTCTGGTGGGAGCCGCTCGTGTGGGAAGAGCTGATCTGGGTGGTGGGAGTTGTGGGAGTTGTGGAAAGCAGTCCCCTGAGGCTGACGGTAAAGTCCGTATCCCACACTGTGCTGATGTGAATCAGTGTAAATATAGGCATGGGGTTGCTGGTATGGAGCTGTAGTGAGATCGCAGGTGATTGGGTTTGGGGGAAGCGAAGTGGGTGCTGAGAGATGTGCATTAACTGCGGGACTATATAGGTAAGGGGCTTTATGTATGTAAGAATGCATTTGTCCATCATTGGGATGAGAGTGGACCATTGCAGGTCGAAAGTCCTGACTTAAACTTTGAATGATGTTGTGGCTGTGAAACGGCTTGGATGAATGGTTAGCAATAGGGTCATTATTGTAAGCTCCATCCATCATTGAGTGGACCTCATTCTCTTTTCCAAGTATCATGTCCTTGACAAGGAACTGGGATCCGATGGTCAGCAAGCTTTGTAGGGTGCTTGTGCCTTTGTAAGCATGCACACTACTGGAGCTGTCCTCAATAGTGTGCATGGAGGAATGGTGCTGAAGCATGCCTAGATCCGACTGGCTATAATCCCAGCCTTGCTCCTCGATGTCACTGGTGTAGAGGTAAGGAGGGTGTTTATGGCATGGGGATTGGTAGATAACCGTTGATCTGAGATCTGTAGGGTAGTGGGATGCAGGTGAATGAGCACTGGAGGGACTGGGATAGAGGCGTGGAGATGCCGAGCTGGATATCATTCCTTCATCAGGTTCCCCAAATTCCTCTGCTATGACGGGTGATAGCCGACCACTAAGAGTTGATGCTGACGAGCTTCCGAGCGAATGGAGGTCCGTCCAAGTCTCGAACTCCTCCTTAAGCACCACCTCACCTGCTCCAGACTTCCCAGTGGGACTGCAGTGCTCCGGAGAGCTACAGCACCCCATCAATGTCTTCTCTGCTTTCCCAGCCGTGTTCTTCCGGTTAGCTCGGCCTTTCCTCTTCAGGGGCCCGGTGCCGTTGTCCACTGAGGCAGCTCGACGCCGGGGAGACTTTCCCAGCTTCCCTCCGTCGGGATTCAGCATCCACCAGGAACTCTTGCCCGTTCCCTCATTCTGCACACGGATGAAACGTGTGTGCAGGGATAAGTTGTGGCGGATGGAGTTCTAGAGAAAAAAAGAGGAGAGTTTTAGAATAATATAGTTACAAAAGAAAGGTCTTGTCTCTTGAGGAAAGTGATGTTTACCTGCACAGCTATGAGATGGCCTCTTGTTACATTAACAAAAATTGATCTGAATCAGACAAACAACCATGGGCGTAAATTGAATCTAACTGTGGATAAACAAAACAAACAAAAAGCAATAAATGTATCGAGCGAGTTTTAAGGGTACACTAATACAGGCAAAATTGTACTTGTAGCTTACACAAAAAGGGATAGTTGTTTAAATATGAGTTAGGTAAATAGGTTCACCACACGGTCATATTCTAATTATTAAATAATCTTATGTCCTCCACACAGTATTTTAGGTTTTGTCTGAGACAGACAACAGACAGCTCATTTGCATATTCATAGAACACATACTAAATGAGGCGAGGGTGTCGAGTTACATTCAAGATATTTTAGCAACATAGTGTCGGTCCAAATCCGGCCCACATCTGGGATATGTGGATTCAACGCGTACCGGATGTGGGCCGGATCTAGGCCGACTCTATGTTGCTGTCCGAGACACTATTGTGGGGAATTAATCTATGAATGGCATAAACATCAACAAGCTTGTCTACCAGAGTAAGACAAAACTGTGATGTTTGTGTTAAAAGAAAAGAGAAAAAGAGTTGGGTCATCCATATTATCCATTCGGGAAATTGTGATAGTAATGCCAATTTAATAAAATAAAATCTAAATATAACACTAAATCTGATTTTGCAGACAAAAATGAAACGTAAATGTTTTGTTCTATATTTTTGTTGCCATGCAAGAGCGTAGTCACTGAATGTGTGTTTGAAATAATGAATTAGGCCTCAGAGGTTCATCTGACACTAAAGGTTTCTTAAGGTAACGACACAAGGAGAGTGTCGATGGAAACATTAAGAAAAGAGAGAGCCGGCGCTCATCGGTGGAGGTTTCGGACAGACAAACGGAGCCTTATTATGAAAATGGACTAATAACTCACAAAGATTGCAATTATTAGAGGTGCACTCCTTTCTGACGATGACTTTGATGATGTGTTGTATAGCTAGTAGTGGTTAACAGATCGTTCAATAGTGAGATACACTGAATGTTCATTTAGACACCATGTGTGCAGCCCAGAGGTAAATATAAGCGTCTCTCCGAGGCATTTCCCAGTCCAGGAGGAAGAGCTACGATAACTGGCATTGACACTGTGTCCGCTCCTGTTAGTCGAGAGACGAGAGGCCGTGTCAAACTCTATACACTCAACATCTCCACTTTCTCCAGCGCTACTAAAACACTTCCAGGGACTCTTAATTAACCACAGACTCTGTGTGTAACTCTATGTTACATTTCGGAGCTCATTAATGACTGAAATGTTTGTTTGGTGTCAGTTAGTTGTTGCTATATAAAACAGGGTGTGACGTCGTGATTGACAGCTGCGCTAGCGAATGAGTCGGCAGGAGTGTTTAGATCCGATTCCAAACCGAATCAAACATAGGAGGGTTTATGTGGGTATGAGATTGGGTTGCCATTTTTTGTGATTTCCTCCTTTCTCACTGCGGTAAGTAGATTGCCATCGTGAGGACAGCTGGAGCTCTTGCCTCCAGTCTTGTTTGAGCTTAATTGCTGATTTCTCTTTCTTTGCTCCAGGGAATGTGTCCCATAGGGCCAGATACTTACAAGCACCGCCATGAGACCCTGTGCCATCCGGACACCATTTGCCACCCATCTGTCTGCTCAACCACACCCATAGTGGCGATCCCAGTCCTCTAAACCATTCCAGAAACACATCTGACTCAACAGGGCTGTCTTTTCATTACTTGTATAAATTACACCTCAAAAAACACAGGGTTAAAAACAACCCAATTTGGGCTGTTTTCAACCCAAGGGCTGGGTAAATATAGGACAGAACACATTGGGTTAAATTCACCAACCCCAAAGGGTGACTCGCATCACACCCGAGTATGTTGCTTTGCATACGATTAAACGATGTACAGCACAATAACGAATTTATAGATCCAATAAAATGTACACAAATCTGAATTTTACCGAAGACATGCACCATTTCGACCCTTCTGCACTGCTCTCTCCTGAAGAGGCCACAAAAAGCCAGTGATAAATAACTCAACCGCTGGGTTGTTATATCTGACCCAGGAGCTGTTAACACAAAAACTACACAAATACTGAAAAAAATAACCCAAGAAATGACCCAAAGGGCTCAACTCGAAAAAATAATAACCCAAGATTTTTCTGAGTGTCGACTCCAGTAAAGATACGCAGTTAGTCCACCTGACGGGCACTGGTCGACTTCTCTGGGCATTTGAGGGTTTGGGGAAAACTTGAGGCAAAAGGTTTTGCAATAAAAGTCTCGCTGACGGAAGGACTCCATCGCAGCAATCATTGGCCATTCGGTTGGCATGTAGAGCAACCAATCACAGTTAGTTTTGTTCAGTGTCGTGTTTAGGGGTGTGGAAATGTAAAGTCAGTGTGCCTAAAATAAGAAGTCTTGGACATATTCTGGTCTAAGCTGTGAGCTTCACATTCGTAAGTTGGCGCTGATACACACAGCTTTCTTTTCCATAGGGGGGTTTGACATCACGCGTGGTCTGTTTCCGATTGGAGTCACCCACGTCTCCCGGAAATCATGGAGAATTCAACCAATCAGATGACGACTTTGAATCCTGAGGTGTTCCCCGTTTGTGCACTTTATGTTCAGTAGATCTTCAAATAGCTATATGAGAATATTGAATGGTCAATAAAACCAGCATAATGGGTTGTTTATTCAACCCAGCATAGTTAAATAATATTTACTATAATATTAGCTTCTATTTAGATTGAAAAGATCGACGGTCAATAAAATAAATAATGAATAAATCATTATTTTTCTTTTGAAGCTTTTCAAGAATTTGAGCTGCATTTCCAATTGAGTCTTTAAATAAATTGCGGCCACTCACTCAGTCCCTGTCCAAACGTGCACCTTTCTTCCTAATTTACCCCTATAAGGTGAATATAAGTACCTTAGCCCCAGTTTCTGAGAAAATTGAGATACGTTATCATACGGCTACAAAAAGTGTCAGGCACAAACAATTGTGTTTAAGATGTATAATGCACACATGAAACCTTTCCTGAACGGCATGAGCCACGAGGATCCGAGCCGACGCAGGAGAGAACTGGGATAATGGTGGGTGATTCTTGGCAGTGTTAATTGGCCGGCTGTGTTTCCCGCAGGAGCCGTGTGTGTGTGTGTGTGTGTGTGTGGGTTAGGCAGATATAAATAGCGTCTCCAGATTAGCTGAGCATCTGAGAAGCAGACAGGAGATCGGAAAATCCCGGATCCTGTGCCAGTTTGACTCCCGGGATCCCCAGTCCACACAAACCCGGATCAGGACACACTCATCACGTCAGCGGGAAATCTCCTCGCTATACAGACACGAGCCACAGCTTCTCCGTAACACTTATAACACTCTTCCTTTCATTAATCAATAACTACACAGTGTTAACACTCTAGTTACTACTAACTAAGATTCTGATAAATGAATTAGTAAGTATAGTGCTCAGATTAGATCGTCAATCACTACTATTTTCTTCGTACCTCTACAGGTTGATAATTAACATGAATAATGCATAACATAAGGTAATGATAACCCATTACGTAAGTGTGGAGAGACACTGAAACGCACGTCACTAATGCACTGACAGCATCTACCAAAATTAAGCTTTTAACGAAAGTCTTTAACGAAAGTTTGACTCGCTGAACATTGTAACCTTGCAAATCTCCAGTTCTGAAGAGTCGTCAGAAGGTTCACACATCTCTAAAGCTGTATTTTATTACGGTAAGTCTGCTGTTTATTGTGTCTCTGAACGCGTGCATTTCTCATATGAATGTCCAACATTGGCAGCTCTCATTTTAAGGTCAGCATCCTCATAAATGAATAAAGCTCAGACACTCAAGACAACATTCAGACTGTGTGACGTGCCCCAGTCGTGCTTTAATAACACACACACACACACACGTGCAAGACTGGCACACTGGGCACAGTTGCTAAGGAGACCCATGGGAAAGGGAGGGATCTTGTTGCCATAGCAGCCTTTTCCCTCCCATCCCTATGGTTTGTGGGATTTACTCATGCATGCTGGGAGAAAGCAAACGATACAGGTTTCTTGACTTGACTTTAGTGTTCCCCATGTTTAAACCAATGATCCTGCGATGAACATACAGACTTCATCAACATCAACCAGTCACGGAGGTTTCTGACTCCAGTATTGCAGTTGAGAACACTTTCTCTGAGTTACCAGATATATTTCCTCGAATCCGCAGTAAAGATGCTTTCCTTTAGCCTGGTTAAAACCAGACAATTCTCAGTTTGTAACTGAGTTATGGTCTGGCAAAGCGTCATAGACAAATCATTTCCAGAGGGGCGTCACCAACGGACGTCGCGGGTAGACCTAAAACCAATCAGAGCGATGAAGGAGATGACGTATGCAGAGCGGCGGAGAAACATCTCCGATTGTTGTTCTTTGGTCGGTTTTTAATAAAACGGAAACGTTCAAATCGCTTAAAAACAGGTGCGATAGCTGATTCGAGCGAGTGATGTTCGACGGCGGCGTCCATCTTTGAAATGTTGGCTAGAAAATCCCAGCCCTGTCGTCATCGTGTAAAGCCCGCCCCAACGTTTCTGATTGGTGCCGTGATTTCTGCGGACTGGAAATGGGCTTGAATGAGCTCTTTGCCAGACTAACTTTCAGAGCAAATCTAAATTTGCCGGAAGTTGCCTGTGTTTTCCTAGGCTAGCTTTCCTTGAGCACAGGTTTATGTCTTAACATGCCGGTGTTCTGTCGATTTTTGCTGCCTTGTCGAAAAATGCTACCGTAGCGCGAATTGATCACAGAATGCCGATTAAAGTCGTATGAAATACAATACAATTCTAAGTTATGAGTAGCTACTGTATACTGTAGACTACGGTTTTTATTTTTAAAATGGTGTGAAAAGTAAAA